TAAGGGATCTGATCAAGAAAGTTGGTGTTCGAAAGCTGAAGGCTGAATTGCCTTGGACGCCGGACACAGAGACAGCGTTCATTTCACTAAAATAGGATTTGTCAAGAGCCACAGATCTGGCCACACCTAACTATGATGAGGCATTTTATCTTGATGTTTCAGAAACAAAGGGAGTTGTGAATGGTGTGTTGTTTCAGAAAAAGGGGAGGTAGGGATGTACTTATGTATGTCAGCATAAGATTAAATTCAACAGAAGCAAGGCATCCCACATGCACACAACACGCAGCAGGAGTAGCAAAGATAATTCAGAAAACAGCACATATAGTGAGGGAACACCCACTGAAAGTGCTTACTACACACAGTGTAGTGGCCTATGTGAACTCACAGGCATTCACAATGACTCCACTGACGCAACAAAGGTTCAGCAAATTTTAGAGGCGCCAAATCTGGTATTCACACATGAAGGAATAAATATGGCAGACCTAATGGGGTCAGGAGAACCACATGACTGTATTAAGAAAGCCCAGGTTGAAGGAAAAATCGAGGGACAACAGTCGGCCCAGAGAGCTGAAGTGATAGCCCTAACTCGAGCCCTGAGGTTGGCTAAAAACATGAGAGTGAACATCTACACTGACTCAGCATATGCGTTTGGAGCAGCTCATGTGGAACTGGCTCAGGGGAAGAGAGCCGGGTTCAGAACGGCCACTAATGCACCCATCTGTCACAAAAAGGCCCTGGAGGACCCAGACGAGGTAAGTATTATAAAATGCAAAGGCCACTCACAAGCAGACAGTATGGTGGCAAGAGGAAATCAGAAAGCTGACGAAGCCGCAAAGGAAGCAGCGGGCTACAAAGGACAGAGACAACTGGTGCAGGTAACCCCAGAAGAGGAGGGTAGCACTAATAGCATGGGAGAAGTTAGACAGGCTCAGGAGGAGACATCCCCAGAGGAAAAGGGGGTGTGGGAAAACAAAGGAGCCTGGCAAGATGGCGGTTTGTGGAGGGGGCCAGATGGGCGTCCCGCTTTAACGGCCAAAATGGCGGAACAAAAGGTGAATGAGGCTCACGGGCTTGGTCACGTGGGAGTGAAACAGATGGAGAGAAATTTGTGCCGATGGTGGCATCCTGATTTGAGAAGGATGATACTGGAAAAGGCCAGAACGTGCCTAATTTGTGGGGCACACAACCCAAAGCCAGCAGTAAAACCTGAAGCTGGTAAGGTTCTCATGCCAGGAAGGCCAGGAGAAGAGGTCGTGATTGATTATACCGACATGATTGATACAGGCCCAGGTGGGGTGAGGTATTTGTTGGTGTGTGTGGATGTTTTGACTGGATGGCCCGAAGCATGGGCGACCGAATGTGAAGACGCGAAAAGCGTGATTAAGTGCTTAATCATTACATTCCAAGGCATGGGTTTCCCAAGAGAATTAGATCAGACAATGGTACTCACTTCAAGAATAAAGATTTGCAAGAGGTAGGGAGGATGAACCTAAATTTGAAAAACAAGTTGGCTAAAATTTGTGCAGACAGGGCTAAATTGGGTCGCAGCCCTGCCCATTGCTTTGATGACCATAAGATGTTTATGATGATGTTAACTTTGTATTTCAGGTGCAGTTATAACTATTTTATACATATTGCATTTTGTGCTTTTAAAGGAGTTGTGGCTCAAATTTGTCTCTGGAGGGTCACGAGCCTTTGGCTAGCGCTATGATTAGCCAATCTACTGTGAGGATAGTATGAGTTCATGAAGGATTGCACACGCTTACAGACACAGAGTTAAGAAACACACATGACAGTATTGATTCCAGGCAAAAGGCCTTAAATTCATTTAGCTTTTAACTGAACTTAAAGAAGGACCAAAGAGGAAGGAAAGCATATAGTTTGGTTAAGTCTGATACATTAGAATTAGAAGGTATTGTTACATTAAGGGAGCAAAATGAAATAAAAAGGTTATACCAAAACAGGTGATAACATAGGAAATGTGAGGTTTTAAAATGAAGTTAGTGTTAACACATAGGAGTTGTTTCAAGGCAGCATTTAGCTATGATGAAATGTATACAGGAGTAATTGCTTATATGCTTAAACTTAATTGATTGAAGTGGTTGTTTTCTTTTGGAGTAGATTAGCTTGCAGCAGCGACAACTTGTGCATAGGATGTTGATGATCAAATAAGGGAAAGTAGAGCGAGCAACTGGACGTGAAACCAGCGCTTAAAAGAATTTTAAAGTGATGAGTAACGTTGAAGAGTATACATAAATACAAGTCCATAAGTTAAGAAGATAATTAGGATCAGGCTTTTAATTAAAGAGTCCCAGATAGGATAAGTTAGGGAGATGCAAGAAAAGGTGTTTTGTTTCCTTTGCAGAAGACTGATCTCGGCGACCACAGGAGGGGCGAGGATCCTGGAGATCTCGAGGTTCGAGACCACCAGAGAAGGGTCTGCGTGAGGACACAATGTATTGTGACCTCTGGTTTTCCAGAGGTCAAAAGGGGGAGTGTCGAGGAGGGAAATTATTTTACTGCTATTGTTAAATAATTGTTATTGCATTAATAATATAATTTGCAGCATGGATATTGCATTCCAAGGTTTAGACAGTGTCTCTTTCAGAAAGACTGAGTTGCAGGCTGACAGGAAGTTGTATGCAGAAAGAAGCAGGAAGTTATTTTGAGCCGCAGGCTAAGACGAGGCTTTAGCAATGTAACAGATAGCTTTATCATTTTATATTAAGGTTTTAGTAGAGGTTCTTGATTAAAACATTTATTTAGTAGAAGACATACACATAGTCTCAGTGAGCTTCTGGTCTGGTAAAAGGTCAGAAGTGTAAGAGGTGACACAAAGAGCATGTGAGGTCAACACACACACACACACACACTTTAAATTAGATTTATTTAGAGGAGAGGTTAGTTATGTTTGGCTGTAACTGCAAAATTGTCTTGGTAAAAGAGGAACCGTTTCTTGGTGTCTCGGCAAGAAAGAGGAACAAGACAAGAACTGAAAGGTAGACAGGAAGGGCTAGCCATGAAGATAGAAGATGATTTTCTAGGTGAAAAGTCATGATGCTTGATCTGATCTATGTATAAAATGTATCTGTGACGTATGAAGGGGCGTCAGTAAATAAACCCTGATGCTATAAAATATCTGTTCATGCTTTGATTAAGTCGAAGACTACTTCCTGTCTGCGTACAGAGTTTTCTTCCCACGCGTGTATTCATTAAAATCTTCGTTTGACTTCACCCGGCCGGACCAGTGTGGTTATTCTTCGATCACCTCTTGTACCCTTCCTCAATACTGAATCTTAACAACACTCTTAAGTGCTCTTGTCTCTTTTAGTTTTAATAAGGAATTGCTCTATATTGGCTTTCTGTTTATCATATTCCCAGATGCTTTTCATTTTCTTTGTTTTTGTATCTTCAGTACCTCATTCACTTATTGGTGAGCAGAGATGGGCAGTAACACGTTAATCTGATTACTTTTTTCAAGTAACGAGTAAAGTAAGGGATTACTATTGCAAAACGGTAATTAGATTACCGTTACTTTCCCGTAGGAACGCTGCGTTACTGCGTTACTAAAACCGTGATTTGTTTGCGAGAATGTCTCATGACAGTGATGTAAGCAAGTGCGACGTTCATGACAACAGCTGTGTGCAGATCAACAATGGATCATATATCGAGTGCGGGAGAGAGTATGAGCGTGCATGCAGCGTTTAAAGCGTGGAAGTACTGACCTTAGTTTGAGTTTGATTCCATAAAAAGTGACAAAAACATTAGTGTCCGTTGTGCGTGGGGAGAAAACTTCTTTTTACAACGAAAAAAAAAACCCTAAACAAGCACCGAGTGCACTATGACGTAATGGGAAATTCAGTGGATTCTTCAACTGATCGCTGCAGCACACCTGCACCAGGGTAAACCTCCGCCTACCCCACTCCTGCTTTACAGGTGAAAATAGAGCAACAGGACCGCTAGTCTTTGATGTTATTTATTTTCTGCTGTGTTTTACTTGCATCTATTTGAAAGACTGAGTGTAAACACAAAAAAAAATATTTTATTTTATGTGCTGGAATGTGCAGAAAATAGGTTTAAATGTTAAACTAATTTCTTCAAGTCAGAGAATGTTGCATATAATTTAATTTTTGCTTGATGCATAAAGTTAAAAGATTAAAACTGATAAAACAAGTTTTAAAAAAAGAGACTTTTCCATTTGATTACATTTTGTATGTTGGATTATGCAGAAAAAGTAGAATTGGGCTGAAAGATCTATCGCTTTATCACCTCTTCAGGTTGTAAATCGTGTTTTTAAAAAGTAACTAAGTAAGTAATTAATTACTTTTGAAAATAAGTAATCAGTAAAGTAATGGGATTACTTTTTTGGGAAGTAATCAGTAATTAGTTACTGATTACTTTTTTCAAGCAACTTGACCAACACTGTTGGTGAGTTTAAATTTATTAGTTCCCTTTGTGATCCTCCTCTGTTCCCCGAGTCTTTCCTCTGTGGTTGTTTCCAGCTTGTGTTGCATATGAGTCTGCATGTTTAGCTGCTTCCTGTCTTAATTTGGTTGTCTTGTGTGTTTTGTGCTCTGTATCTAGTTTAAATTCCCTGCCTCGCTATCCCTGATTTGTTCCGATTGTGTCTTCCAACTGTTTTCTAAGTCTACTCTTGCCCCTTTGTCGTGCTGTCACACAGTGCTGTGTGCTTCGCTGCTCTGTGTTGGCTGTCATAACCATCTGTAGGTTCACATTCTCCAAGAGGTGAGAAGACAATTTTTGGGATGTGTGGACCAACTTTCAGGTATTTTTTGCAGCAGAACAGCATGGACAACAGGAAATTTAAAGTTTGCACATGAATTTAATCAAGGATCTCGTTGGCTTGTTTGCTGACTTAAAGCCTCTGTGGACAACAGTGTAGGCAGCGGATAAGGCCAAGTCTCTCTGTCCTGTCCTGTTTATGAGTGCAAACATCTATAAAAGTAAAACTGTACATCATCAGTGGTTTAACAATCGCATCTTACAGGCGCTCCTGGTTGCCCTTTATTTCCAGATTCTCCTTTGGCGCCACAGTCACCTCTGCTCCCTCTGGGTCCTCTCCTACCTGGTGCACCCCTGTCTCCCTTTAAATATCAGAGTTGCTTTAGCCTCAAGAAGAAACATCTTGAGACATGCAGGTCATTTTATGAGGTAAAAAGAAAGCTGTTACAGGCGGTCCCCTTGATCCAGGATAGCTGAAACCTTGCCTTCCTCTGTCACCCTTTAGAAGAAAAACAACGTGGATGAGAGTAAATTATTTACTGATAATCATGAACAGAAATGCTCAGACTTTCTTTTTACCTTTGGTCCAAGTGGCCCAATGTCTCCCTTGGTCCTGAATCTCCAGGATCTCCCGTCGTGCCCTGCAGCCACAGAAGATAAAATTCAAATAAAAAAAGAATCTACTTGAAAAAGCAGAAAATGATGATTAGATTAGATTAGATGAAACTTTATTAATCCCTCAGGTGGCTTCCTCCGGGAAATTCAGTAACAATGATGATGACAATGATGATAAAGTTATAAAGGAACAAACATTTCGTCCAGGGGCGCCTAGTTCTCCTGGCTGACCCCTCGGTCCCGGTAGTCCCAGGTCCCCCTGTCAGAGAGAGAAAATAACAGACAGCCCTTTTTACTGGACTCGACCTTGACTCCAGCCCACACAGGCACATGCAGGATGAGTTTCACTGATGTGGATTTGGCAGTTTCAAGCTAATCATTTCAAATTACTGTATAGTTTCTGATATTTTCATCTGGAAAATAAGTGTTTTTATGATGAAGGCATGGCTCCAGTGTTGAATGTCTAATGAAGGCATGCCAGGTTCTTGGGAAGCCTCTGAGTCATTGCTCATCAAAAATCCACCCACAACGTGATCTCCTCACCTTAGCGCCCTTGAGTCCATTTTCCCCAGGCCGACCTCTGCTTCCCTCCGGGCCTCGTTCTCCCTCACAAAATAAATGAATGTGTCAGAATTCATACCAAACCATTAATTACTTCCCAATATATACAAGACACAACAGTAACAGGGAGGTAATACTTCTGGCTCAGGGAAATGTCTGAGGAATTTTTCTGAGATGACCGACTGAAAGACAGAACTGTGTTATAGTAGTTGGGATTTCACTATTTCAGTTCCTCAGAATTAAAAACCACAAGCACACTTCAGACTTTCTTCCTCAAAGTTCTTTCTTAATTCATCTTTCTTAAAAGGTCAAAGGAAGCCAGTGTTTCACAGTATTTCAAACCAGCAGCTAAAATGGTGCAATTTTGCTTAAAAATAAGCGGAAAATGAAATGCCATTCATACAATAAGACAATTCATTAAAAAAAACAATGACAAAAGCTTACCTTTTTCCCTTTTGGCCCAGTGTTTCCTTGTGATCCCTTTATTCCCGGGTTTCCTCTCCTCCCCTATGAATATTTATTTAGTAAATTTCTTTTAACTATTTTCCAAATGGGGATTTTTTTTTCCAAGTAAAAACACGAGTCAAATACCTCTTCGCCTTTTGCCCCAGGTGAACCCTTTCTCCCCTGCAAGTGTCAACAGTTTAATTTAAGAGTTGGTTTTGTAACATCAGTTTAGTGCACATGTAAAAAAAAATCATAAAATAAAATAAATTCAGGGCTGTACCGGACTCCCTCTTTGTCCAGGCTGTCCTGGATTTCCTTGGTTTCCTCTTTCACCCTAAAAAGCAGACATTCAGTTTTAAAGTAAAGAAAAATCTTTGTTGTGCGCTCAGTATTTTTTCCACTTGTTTTTTTAATTTGAAGGTTACCTTCAGACCTGGATTACCCTTAGGGCCTGGGGGGCCTGGCTTTCCAGGAAGGCCTGTGTCACCCTAAACAAATGCAAAAACAATCAAAAAGAAAAGCCACAAAAAATACATAACTGGACATAATGTAACATTATTAATAACTGAGCTTCAGTGAACTCTAAAAAAATGGTAAATGGCCTGTATTTGTATAGCGCTTTACTAGTCCCTAAGGAAGTGTCTTGCCCAAGGACACGACGACCGAGACTGTCGGAGGCGGGGCTCGAACCGGCAACCTTCCGATTACAAGACGAACTGCCAACTCTTGAGCCACGATAATAAAATAAGTTTATAAGGAAAAAAATGGTCATGTCTGATTGTCTAGTCATTGATTCTGTAGTTGAGTGAGCATGGGCAAAGATACAGTCCCAATCAAAAATCTAAGACTTTAAAAATGCCAAAATATCATATTTTGCATGGTTGGATCTTAACAAGGTTCCAAGTGGAGTTTCAACATGTAACAAAAAGAAATGGGAGCGAGACAGAACATTTTTTGAGCATGCAATTTATTGAAAACAACGCTTAAACTGTTTTACAGCTGATCAAAAATGTATAACTACATGCCATTCAAAGGCCAAATCTGTGCAAAAATGTGGATTCATTGTCATTTTCTGTCAGGTAGTCACACTGTCATGACGTTCTGATGGCAAAAAAAATGTTCCCTTTTTGAATGTGGTCGGGATGTTGAACTGCCAGGGGTGCACATAAGTGGTCCGCAGGTGCGCATGCGTGGTCAAAATAAAAGACACGCACCAGATAAGAAGTTGCAACGCGCATTTGCGTACATAAGATTTTCTGGAAGAGGACAGACATTTGTTTAGAACTCTTAAAGATGTCGAAGAAGCAAGCTCCTTTAAGCAATTACTTTGGTGTTCCTACACCTCCAAACAAATGTCAGAAGGAGTCAGAACCGCAAAAGAAGCACGTATTCTTGGAAAAGTGGTTGCAGGAAATGAGCTGGCTTCAAACAGCTCACTTATGTGCACCCCTGGAACTGCATAAGCAGGATCTCTTGCAGCACGCCATCGCTGCTGAGGTGGGGCGCAGTAAGACTGTCATTTGGAATTTCTTAAATGACTCCTAGCGTTATGGAACAAAAAAGTCAAAAAGTGGAAGACCCAAAGAAATTTCACCAGCACTGAGCTGGAGGATCCAATTGCCTGCCTGTAAAGACACTGGACAGTCCTTGAACCAAATTAAGGCCGTTACTGGTCCTGACTGGAGCCCCATAAACATCAGAATGTAACCTTGATGGTTCTGACGGTTTCCAAACTTACTGGCATGACAAGCAGATCCAACCTGAGATGTTTTCTACGCGCCACAGTGGAGGGGGCGCATTAATGGTCTGGGGTGCTTTTTCCTTCAGTGGAACAATGGAGCTTCAGGAGGTGCAGGGGTGTCAAACGGTTGCTGGCTATGTCCAGATGTTGCAGAGAGCAACATTGTCTGTGTGGTAACAGCTGGGTTTTCCAACAGGACAACGTTAGGGTACACAGTGCCTGCAGGTTACAGTGGTTTTTTGTTTGTTTGTTTGTTTTTTTGAGGTGTGGTCCTAAACTGATCAGGCAGTTTAAACATTGTTTTCAATAAATTGTATGCTCAAATTTTTTTCCGGCTCATCCCCATTTCTTTTTGTTGCATGCTGAAGCTCTACTTGGAACCTTGTTAAGATCCAACCATGCAAATTATGATTTCTTTCTTTTTTAGGTCATTTTTCAAGTGGTCTTAAACTTTTGATCGAGACTGGATGTCTGCACACAGCCCAAATATTTAGTCTGAGCTGTGCTTTGGCTACATTCATGACGCATAATTACGGAAATCATCAGTACCAACATTTACATCTGCATGAGCTGTACATGTTGAATGTACTGACAGAATAAACACAAATATGTCAAGAAAAAAAATGTCGAAAAAATGTCTGCCGAGCTGCTGCAGCCGTCAGCTATGTCAGATGATTTAATTATGAAAAAAAGAGCATTTCCTCTTTGTATTTATGTGCTGTCATTTCACTGCATAACATATGTTATGTTTGCATGGCTGGAAAAGGGAGGGGGTTCCTGTTTATGAATACAGCACGATGAAGGTGCTAACATGTCAGCACACTGTTTGGTGGCACATGTTAGGCCACATGTTAACTGCTATTCAGACTAATGTTCAGCTTCTCTGTGATATGCATGTCCAGATTAGGAGTTCTGGAATTTGTGACATTTGTTTTAATATTCATGCCGATGCCCAATTTAGAATCACCCATTAACCAAACACGCATGTCTCTGGACTGTTCTTGTTGTGAGGTGAAAGCGCTAACCACTACACCACGTGCCACGCAATACAGACAAGTATTTTTAAGATCAATTTAAAAAAAGACAAAAACCTAATTATAGCTTTTAAAAAAAATCCTTTAAGAAGACAAACTGAAAGATTTGGATTTTTGCTTCCGTTGTGACAGGCATATTTTAAAATGCACCCACAAATCAATGCACATCTCAGTGTCACAGAAGTGCCTTAACTAATGAGAGCTGTTAAACTCTAATTCACTGGCTGAAGCTGCTCTCACGTTCCCTCATTCGTCTTGAACACGACAGTGTTTTTGGTGGAGGGCTTTTCTGTTTATACTTCAGTTAACGGTCAGACAGCCCACATAAGCCTAATCTATCAATTTTGAGGCAAACGTGTTGCCACAGAAAGGCAATACATAATATCATAATCTAAAGCTCTTATTAGCACAACAGCAAGAGGCTGCACTACCAAGCAAATTCAACATACCATGGATATCTTTCAGTCATTAATCTGGCTAAGCAGTCACACAAAGTCCTTATCAACAGGATAAGTTCAGTCAGGTTTTTCCAATCTAGCTGTGGGCATGTTCCCATGAAAGTGGTGGTGTTGATAGGTCTGCTAGGAGCAGAGGAGTACTTTTTCAAAGGAAGACAAAATCTAATAATAAAAGATATGAAAAGGTTAAACACGCAAAACAGGCAAAAAGAAATGCAGCTGCTGCTGGGCAAAATTTTGCAGTATGAGCGTAACAGGAAACAGGGGCACATCTACAGAGCAGCAGTGGGTGTGTGTGTGTGTGTGTGTGTATGGGGGGCAACAAATTTAATATGACATGATAAAGGAGACTCTCTCTTTCCTTCACAAAACCTTTGTCAACCTCAAGGTAAAGCAGTTATTAATAATAATAATGGATTGGATTTATATAGCACTTTTCAAGGCACCCAAAGCGCTTTACAATGCCACTATTCATTCACTCTCACATTCACACACTGGTGGAGGCAAGCTACGATTGTAGCCACAGCTGCCCTGGGCAGGCTGACAGAAGCGAGGCTGCCATATCGCGCCATCGGCCCCTCTGGCCAACACCAGTAGGCGATAGGGTAAAGTGTCTTGCCCAAGGACACAACGACCAGGACAGAGAGCCCAGGGATCGAACCGGCGACCTTCCAGTTACAGATACGCTTCCCAACCCCCTGAGCCACAGTCACCCCATTAAAAGGAGTTTGGGGTTTATATTATCTATCTGACTACAGTCCAGACCTGCAGAAGATAAAGGAGACGTGTGGTGATTTAGAGATCTCCAAACAGCTGGTCTTTAAATATTTTTCTCTGACCTTTCTTGGTGCTTGTACCTTTTGGCAATCAGAGCACATTTTGACTGTTTAATAAACAGTCAAAATGTTATGAATCACGGTATCTGTGAATCATCTATGAATGTGTTGCTGTAGCACCAGCACCACATAGGCAGAAAAGTGGTCTTGAAGTAAATATTGACCCTCACACAGACCAAAAGAAAATACATATTAAACCTTGCCCAACTAAAAATAATAGTAGTTGGTTCACTTGACAGAACTTACTGTTTTAACCCGACAGGCCAGCCTGTGCAGGCATTTGGTGTTTAATCCTAGAAGATCACATCGTTCAGCTGTTCTGACACCTGTTAAAGCTAAAGAAATATTAGAAATGGTTCTTTAAGGCTCTGCTGTGCCACCTTTAAGAAGCACACTGAAAATTTCACGCTATTTTCTAGTGACAGTACTTTCCTTTCATATATCTGGTGGCATGGTGGTTAGCACTTTTGGCGCATAGCAAGAAGGTCCTGAGTTCAATTCAATTCAGCTAAGTTCAATTGTGATCTGCTAAGATTAAACACCAAATGCCTGCACAAGCTGGCATGTCAGGTTAAAACAGTAAGTTCTGTTAAGTGAACCAACTACTAGTATTTTAGATAGACAAGGTTTAATATGTATTTTTGTTTGGTCTTTGTGAGGGTCAATCTTTACTACAAGACCACTTTTCTGAAAAGGTTGGGCTTGTTATTATCAGGTGAATGTGATAACCACTACAGTACGGAAATGACTTCACTAGAATCCATCTAATTACTGTGAATACTTCACTCTAGACTCAAGTGCTGAAATTACCAACTGACCACATACCAAAATGCAATCGTGTGAATATATTTTTTTGTTCACTCTAAATAACACTCTATCTCTTTCAGTATGAACCGAAATGATTAGATTATTGTGATTTAATTCAAACCTTTTCTCCTTTGTCACCTAATAGTCCAGTTTCACCAGCATCTCCTGGGTAGCCATCTGGTCCCTATTAGAGACAAATAAAAAGTGTCTCAGTGGTTCATTTAACCAGAAATGCTAACAATACTAGAAAAAGTCAATGTTAAAGAGAATCAGTGAAATACATGCAGCTGTATGGCTGATATAAGTTGTTAAAATGAAACAAAGACATACAAATAAATATTAAATGCTCGACTTACCTTGTCGCCTGGATCACCTTTACAACCGGGAGCTCCAATTCGTCCAATTTTCCCCTGAAGATTTCAAAGGAGCATTCATCTAATATCAGTATATTTATAATCAGATTACCATTACAGTAAAAATCTCACCGTAAACACTCACCTTTTGCCCATCAGTTCCATTCTTGCCAGTCGAACCGGCAACACCCTTTAGCGAAGAGATAAAATGAACTTCAGTGCATAAACGCTCTTAATTTTGGATGTTGCGGTGCACGAAGATGAAGCATTAAACTGTTTTTTTTTTTTTTTACCTTTGCTCCAGTTAATCCAATTTCCCCCTGTTGAGATAAAACAGACCCATTAGTCCCCCAAAACACTTCCTTCAGTTTAATAAATGAACAGAAATGAGAAATATAAGGATTTTAACTCTTACCTTGTCACCCTTTAAACCAGCCTCTCCCTACGGAAAAGCACAAAAGGACACATTAATGAGATTAAAAATACATCGTGTAATTTTAATTAAATCAGTTAAATAATTTAATTAATTTTAATGAAATAAAATCATCAACGAGTTGGGCTCAGCAAACCTTTGGACCAGGTCGTCCAATTGGACCTTCAATGCCAGGATCACCCTGAAATGTAACAAATATATAACTCAGTAAATAACAATGCACTTTTTAAAATATATTTAGGTTTCTAGACGTAAATTCTAGGTACCTGTCTTCCTCTTTCACCCTTTGGCCCTAGAGGGCCTCTGTCTCCTTTTGTGCCCTATAAAGATCCAGAGACATACGCATTTCAAAAGATGAATCATTGGCACGAGCAATAATAAAAATATTGACTTTAATTCAGTTTTTAAGTCTCACTTTTGGACCTGAGGGACCTCTTAGTCCAGGGCGCCCAGGACTCTCGAAACATCTTGGTTTGTAACACTGTGAGATGGAAGAGAAAAACAAAACAATATTAAAAGACTGAAGCCTTTTAAATACCAGAATTGTTTAAAGGAAGCTATTCTGCTAATTTCCAACTTCATTGTTTCAGTCTTGGACTTATAGCAGCTTTGCATGAGTGACTGAAACAAGCCTTTTTAGCTCCTTCCCCCTTCCCTTTGTGGCAGTTTTATTCTGATTGGTTGTCTTTGGTAAAGAGAGTATTTGAAAGGCAAGTGGGCGGGGGGAACATATCCTCTCTTTGACTTCACAAACAGCCAACAGTACAAAAAATGTGTGAAACTGACAGGGTTGGATCCTGAGCTTGTGGCTAATAGGGATTACTTGCACATACACTCATTATGTGGAAACTTAACATAATGAGTAACCTTATTACCTGTAAATATGCTTGGTATTTCTGCAAAAAAAAAGAGAAAAAAGACAGCAGTCAGTGAGAGCACCTGACACAACATTTTAAGGCTAAAAGATGTCAGCTCACCATTGCTTTTACGATACGATCAATGGTTTTAGTGCTTAGTCTTGGTTCCCATCAACGATTTCCACCGCTATGTAGTCGTCACGGAACAGCTCATACGGAGAGTTCGCTATCTCCCTCATTCCAAATTCATCGATCTCCTTGGACGCTGCTACTGAGAAAATCTGGATCCCTTGATCCCGGGCCTTTTCCGCCATCACCTTGATCCCTGAACATGGATTTCCTGTCACGTAGCCATCAGTGATGACCACAGCGAAGAGAACCGCCTTCGTCTCTGTGTAATGTTGGGTCATCTGGTGAGTCATGTTTTTGAGGGCACAGTCGATGTAAGTGCCTTTGCCCAGGTATCGGATCGAAGCGAGATTCCTGATGAAGTTCTCTCTGGTTGTGAGCTGGCTGAAGACCACCTGCTTCTGGGAGAAGTGCAGCCCACCTATGGACCAAGTGATCTGGATATGGCCCCTGTACTCCTCATCAGCCAGCCTCTCGGCAAAGATCTTTGTGAATTCTCTGATACTCTCCACCAGGCTGCCAGGTGGGGGCTCCTGCAATGCGATGGTTTCTGAGGTGTCAATAGTGAAGTACACCCTGATGGGACAGTCGATTATACCTGCTGGAGGAGAAGACAGCTGTTACTTTTAATTAGAAAAATAATGAAATTGTTTTTAGATGCTGAAATGCATCACTTCACCCTAATTATTTAATACTTGAAACATCATAATAAAAAGCAGCAAATTAATCTGTGTAGTTTGTGTCCTGGGCTGGTTGATTTTGCCAGGTTACACAGATAGAATGAAAATGATGAAAAATGTGAGGACTATAAGACATTTATGTGTTGTGCTGCAGAGATCTAACTACTACATGCTAAATAGATAGCACAGGCCTCTCAGATTCAAATTTTGCTGACCGGACGTCGTGTTTTTCTTTTTTAAGTCTATAAATGTAAATCGTGGTCACTGTGCAAAATGACTGAAGCTATTTTTTGAAAAGGGACATGAGGGGAAATAACTGGTCAATCATCTGGCTTAGTTTTTGTTTGTTTGTGTTTTTAGCTGAGCACAGCAAACCAAGATTGTTTAAGATTGTGCAGTCTTGCAGAGGAAAACACATGTTCGCTAAAACGTGTAGAAATTAAAGAGCACATAGGAGCTGGAGCCTTTGCTTCAGGTTATAGAACCATCTTAATATAACCACCTTATTAGAACCACCTTAAGTAGCAATAGCTTGAAGTAATGATTTTTGGTATGATTTTATCAGTCTCTCACATCATCGTCGACAAAATTTGGCCGCTTATCTTTACAGCATTGCCTTTACTGAGGTTTGCAGGCATTTCCTTCTGCACAGCTTGTTTCTACCAGAGCATTTCAATCAGATTAAGGTCTAGACATTAACTGTACCATTGCAACAGCTCCATTCTTTGGTTTCTCAGCCATTCTGTTGCAAATTTACTGCTGTGCTTCCTTTAGCTGAGCTTTAGCTGCATGCTGTCACACAGGTATCCTCACATTTGACTCTAGATTACTTTGGTATACAGAGGATCCAAATACTTTCACAGCTGAATCAATTAAAGTCAAAAAACAAAAAAAAAAATTACCATTATTTAACCCAGAAAGAAATTAAGGGAACCTTCACCTTCACAGCCTTCAGGTCTTGGTGTGGGTTCAGGCAAGAGTGGAGGTACCGTTGGCTCTGGACTGTCACCTCGCCCCGGTATTGGTCTGGTCCTCGAGGTGTAAGTTGAAGGTTTACAGTTTGGACCAGCAATACAAAGACAAACCCTGAAAGCATTGTCATTTTTTTCTGAAAAGAAAGAAAAGAAACAAAAAAGAAAAACCCAAACAAGACAAGCAGGATGAATAAAACTGTTCTTCAGAGATTATTTTGACTGTAAAGCTGTAACTTAATGCAGGAAATAGCTGTCAAACATGTGAGTGTTCACAGAAGGCGTCTACACAGCGCTTAGGAATGTTTAATGTTGTTTTAAGTCATGTCAGTGAACAACCGCACTGTGTGAAACAGAAGACAGAAGAATGTTTGAAACTGCATGTTTCATCCCACCTGTTTAATTAAACTGAAATCAGAAGGAGCAGGAAAGATTCTGTGGAACTACCATCCCACGGAGTTACTGTTTGATAAGAGCTGACAAGACGGTGGTGTGTTATTGCTGGTGATAATTTACAATTTTTTTCTGGAAGTGGAAATTCCAACAGCATAAACCAACATCAGAAATGACAAATGAATAAAACTCAGCTTAAAACTGCTGGTTAGTGCAACTTCAGTCTGCAGGAGGGGCTTCCAGACTATTTCATGTCAGGAATTTCAAATACAAAAAAACAACAAGATAAAAATCCAACCTGTGGGCGGGGTGCTGATGTTGATGTTGCACAGAGATGGAATGTAACTTATTTGGTTAATGCTTCCGCTCTATCACGTCCCAGAGGGCATACTGAACAGTTTTATTCTATTAAAATCATACTGTATTTACACGCTACTTCACATAGCTTGCAAGTACTGAGTTAGGCCCTCTTTTACCTTCAGGACTACTTAATTCTTCACGGCATGGATTCAACAGGGTGGTAAAAACAACCACACAAGATTTGCTCCATATTTAACTGATAGCATCACATCCAAATGCTGCAGCAGGAATAAACTCATCAGACCAGGCAATGTTTTTTACGATCTTCTATCATCCAATTTTGTGCAGGAAAATTCCAGTCAACAGTTTTTAAACACTCAGATCCTGTCAACAACAACCATGCCATGCTCAAAGTCAACTCTCTTCTCTGTTACCACACTGCACTTGCACTGAAAGCTGCCCAATGCATTCTGAATGCTCCACTTACTTTATTAACATTTCAATGTCAACGTGATCAAAAAATAAAACAAATAAAAAGTAAATCAGAAACGCGACTCTCTGGTAGAGCAGTCCTGTTTAATTTTATTAGATTATACATTATACAGATTATACCTAACAAAGTGTCCTGTGCCGATGCTTAATTGTATTGTAAATCCTTTATTTAAACACATGTGTGCCTCAAACGTAGCTTGAGGCACACAATGGCAGAAAAGCCACACACAGGCACACAAAAATAAAAATCTATCCACTTTATACACATTTAGAAGTTAAGAAAAAAACATGTGAAGACTGATTTCAGACACAGGCCCAATTATAACCTTAAAACGTAATTTCATGTTTTATGCAGTTTCTTTTCTTTCTTTCAAATAAACATGCAATATAATATATATAAGCATTTAATGAAAATTAATTTATGTTGTCATGTTAAGTGGAGTACTACAGAGATGGAACACCTTTTCTTTTCTGAAAGAAGTCAAAAAAAGTTTTGTTTTACACCACAGAGAATCTAAATATATTCTAAAATTCACATTAACTGTAGGGAAAAAAAGAGTAACCAGAAGATTAATTTATACGGTCTATCAGTCGTATAGCGTGCAGTACAACCCTTTAAATCTCCGGTAAATTTAAATAAAATGTAGGCTGCTTACCGAGAAGACGGAAAAGAGAAAGTAAACTCCAAGCTGCGATTAGAGACCTACAAGATATTCAAGCAATTTGTACAGATGGTAAACCTGACACACCCTCTCAGCGGGACTGTTCCCAATAGAAAACATTAGAGGGGGATGGAGGGCAGCTCTGGGTCGTTTGCGAACGAGCGCTAGAGACGCAGGCGTCACTGGAGAAAGAGAGATGTTCAGATGATTGTTGTGGCAGCTGGAGATCAGCAAGGTCTCCAGGACAGGTCTGGAGACTTAAGAGGTTTCGAATAAATAGAAAAGGCTGAAATAAGCCATTTATCCACCTGATCAGACGGATTCAATGTCAGAGTCACAGCAGATTCTCTCTAATGGCAGCTTACAAACACATCAGCTCCCAGTGCTACATATCCTTACATGGAGACAGCTGCTCACACTCACCCCCTCTGTTTATGTTTCAAGGCTATACAGCGTGAGAGATGTCATGCTGGAATTAAGTGCAGAAGCTTTATTCTTTTACCAATTTCACTTATCCAGTTATTAATCAAGACTGTTGAAAGGAAAATCAAATGATGAAGTGTTTCTCCCAGCCTGTCAAGATGAGATTGACTGCTTTCTTACTTAAAATCAAAGAGACCCTAATTAAGACAAAGAAAGATGCTGACAATGTGAAAACCGAGCATGCAGCTTACTTTAATTAGCACGTTTTTGTTGTTTGTTTGTTTTTAAAGAAATGTTCCTATTTCCATTTTCTGGGTACATTTTCATGAGGTCTAATTAAAAAAATGTATATTTTAATATATGGAGGCGTGTTTGCATCCACATATACCTGGTCTTTACCTGTAGTTCAGTGAGAAAGCCAGCATCCACCGGTCCTACTTTGGCAAAACGTCCTACCGTAAGTAGTTTATGCACATTTCTGTTGTCACAGAGTAATTCCAACACAAATTTAAGTAGGTATTACGGTTTGCCACTTAACTTTTCCCATCAGACTATGCTTGTAGCTCATATTCATAAAGCCAGGACGGTTTGCCACTTCATTTTACCCGTTAAACTATGCTTGTCGGTCACATTCACAAAGGTAGCATGGTTTGGCACTTTACCCATCAGAGTATGTTTCTAGCTCATATTCACAAAGGTAGGACGGTTCGCCACTGGATTTCGTGTTGTGCGCATGCGCAGAAACAACGGGTAGGGTAGGATGGATTCCTAGAACACCCTGTCAACTTGGCCACAGTGTGCCCCACTCAATTAATGGCTTACCTCATTGTGAACCATTCAGACATCGAAGGAATAAACATTTTTGATATTGAACTGAAAATAAGTCAGTTTGCAGATGACACAGTAATATTTTTAAAGGATAAATCAATACTCGAGAAAGCATTGAATGTCATTTCAATTTTTTCTAAAGCTTCAGGCTTGTGTCTGAACCTAAAGAAGTGTGAACTTTTGCCACTTTATGATTGTTTGGAAAATAGCATGAGGACGATTCCAGTGAAAAATGAAGTTAAGTATCTAGGCATCTATTTAAACAAAGACATCAACACTAGAGAATCAAAAAACCTAAAAGACAAAATTGATGGCATGTCCAAAACACTAAATCATTGGTTGACGAGAGATATTACAATTTTTGGACGCAATCTATTATCCAAATCAGAGGGCGTCTCAAAGATGGTTTATCCAGCATACTCACTATACATTACCCCGAAAAGTATTAAAAAGATTAACTCTATAATCTATCAATTCATTTGGCGCAATAAAACACATTACATTAAAAAAATCACAACTTGTCAAAGATTACGCTAAAGGTGGTATAAAGTCAATTGATTTTCAATCAATGGTTGGAGTATTTAAAATAAACTGGATAAAAGCCTTCCTCTTGAAACCTGACTCCATATGGTTCCATATCCCAAAAAATATTTTCAAAAAGGTGGGAGGGTTGGATTTTCTCCTGAAATGTGATTTTGATATATTGAAGTTGCCTGTGAAACTGTCAGAATATCATAAGCAGGTCTTGTCTTATTGGAAGATGGTGTTTGCCCATAACTTTTCACCACATTGCTCACCTTGTGGAATAACAGAACAATACAATTAATAAGAAGTCATTGTTATTAAAGAGTGGTTTGAAAAAAACATAATCTTTATAACAGACTTACTTGATGAAAGGGGTCAGTTTCTCTCAGTGGGTGTTTTTAATGCTAAGTTTAACATTCAGTGTTCCCTTAGAGAATATGACAAGGTTTGTAAGGCAATCCCTTTACCTCTGTTGAGTTTGATTCAAGGTTATTTGTATTACTCTAAGGCACAAATTAGTCTACCTTCTTTACATCTAAACCAGATTCCTTTGACGGATAAAAACTGTAATAATAAAACCATGAACAAGATATTTAAAAACAATTATTTCACGACTTTAACAGTAACACAAAACTAAAAGGGAGTAATGTTAAAATAACGAACAAATATACGCACTTTTTAAAATGGCCCATCCCCCCCAAAGTCAAAGAAATGCAATTTAAAATAATTAATGGATATTACCCAGCAGCTGAAATGCTTAAAAAAAGGTTTGGGTTTGAGGTAGAGCCATGTGGATTTTGTTCACAAAATGTGGAAAGTATTGATCATTTGTTTTTTTCCTGCTCAGAACAACTGACTTTTGGCAAGATCTAGTAGACTGGTTGAGTATAAGAATAGATGGGATGACCCCACTGACTCGAACACAAGTTTTATATAATAATGGTGATCCATCTAAGGAACTGTCCATGCTACACAAGGTGGTGATAATTATGGGCAAATACCACATACACAAATGCAAATGGCAAAGTAAAAGACCTTCCATAACTGTCTTGAAAATTGAATTAAAATCTTTTTTGTCATCTTTAGAATTACTGAGGGATTCATGTAAAGAGGCTGCTTTGATATGCGACAATGGGACTCAATCTCTATCCTTTTAATGATTGTGTTTTTGGTGTACTAAGTAAGCCACATGTATGTTAAAGTGATCGCAGAAAGGAAACTGTTTTATGTCATAAAAATGGCCTTCATATATTTATGTATATGTATATATGTGCTTTTTGTTTTTTGTTTTTTTTGTTTTTTTCCTATTTCGTTTGGTTTCTTATTCAACCTATTCAAGATGTTGTTGCACTAATGTTGTCTCCCAACGAGAGATTGTAATATGTGCATAAATTTAATTAAAGTATTGGAAAAAAAAAGAAAAAGAAAAAAAAAAGGCCACAGTGACATGCCCTTCACATGAACGTGGACCCGCTCATCAAACCTTTGCTCCACAGCGCCACCAGTGGTCAAAACAAAGCAGTTTAATTTTTTCGTTAAATTTAAGCTCTCACGGGACATTTTATTAAGTACACAGTACCTAGTACCGGTTTGACCCCCTTTTGCCTTCAGAATTGCTTTAATCCTTTGTGGCATTACAACAAAGGGCATTTTACATCACACAGCTGCACATGCGTGATGTGAATGTCCTGTTCAACCACATACCAAAGATGCTCAATTTGACTGAACTCTGGTGACTCCACATGCCATTTGAGTTACACTGAACTTGTTTTCCATGTTCAAGATGACATTTTGAGATGATCTGAGCTTTGGACAACAACAGCAAGTACGATGGTGTAAGATAAGGATGGTAAGCAACAATACTCGGGTAGACTGTGGTATTTAAATGATGCTCAGTTTGAACTTCAGCAGGTCGTCTTCACCATGTCTAAATGAACTGAGTCGCTGTCATGTGACTGAAATGATCAGGCCAATAAAGTGGCAGACGAGCAGATATTTTCATTATTATTTTCCAGTTTTAATAATAATTTGCAGGTGTGCTAGCATCAGCAAAAGTATATGTCACAGTCAGTGGATAAAGACAAAGTTTTCCTATTTGCAGAACTGAAGAAGCTTCTCGGATGAGAGGTGAAACGTCTTCAAGCAAAGAAGTCCAGACGCTTTTCTTTGCAAGCTCCTTTGACTATTTGCTGTATAAGGTCACATAATCTGTGAGATGAAACAAACACTGGAGTCTGCAGGACTATTTGGACCGTAACTTTATACCATGAAAACGTGGCCCACCAGAGGTAAAATCAGTCATGCACACCATTTAAGTGGATAAAACGACTGAGTGGGCTCAGTGTCTCTTAAAAGTCAAGCCTAATGCAGTGTCTTAAATATGCATTCCTTACAATGGCCAGCAGGGGGATACTTTGGTTGCACAATGAAATCAAATTGTACAGAAACCTTTGGGAAAATGACCTTACTGCTCAGTTATACTATAACCTCAGTAATCAGTTTTAAAATTGGATCATGGTTTCATTGCATTAAATAAATATTTCATATTTGTGGTCAACCATGTTGGATACTGTAGAGACAAACATGGTATTCTTAAGAGGAGTGGCTACCCCGTGATTGATTTCATTAAATGATAAACACCTTAGTTTAAGTACTTGATATATGTTCTGCATTTTACTGTGAATACAATTTGGGTTTATAAGATGTGAAAATCACTGCATTCTTTATTGTCAAATGCACATTTTACACAGTGTCCTGACTTTGTTGAAACTGAGGTTACACATCTGGGATGAAAATCTCCATAAAAAAAAACATGTGTACTTATCCAACAGTCCATTAAAAACCACATAAAAATCCAAAAAATAAAATAAAAATTTTCTGATGCAGAAAGACCCGCCGGGACTTTGAGACCTTATATACTTTACTATACCATTATAGTATATATTAATAATATACTACATACATTATTGTGACATACAATTTCAATTGAATTATAAGTTAGCATCATCATACTTTTTAAAGTTCAAAACTTTTAAAATAAAATTCTTTTTTTAAAAAAGAAATTCTTTAGAAAAACACTGGAAAGGTTTAGAAGATACTCTAAACTCTTCCTGTGATAGCATCCATTTGTTCATCATGATGCAGTAAAGATTATGAATCTTCTATTCTTTTGTCTTCAGATAACGTTCAGTTTCCAGGTAATAATTCGGACAGCAGTGAATCAGGGAAGTTTGTAGTTTTCTGTTCACTGCAAACACGATGTCTCAGCATCCAACTGGAGTTACAGCACGTCTGCAGGCGGAAAGAAATTAGTGTAAAATATTATATTATTATTATATAATATATATATTAATAATAAATAATATATATATAATATATTAATAATTAATATATATATAATATATATTATCTCACTGATAATAATATTATATATATTATCAGTGAGTATACCATTCTCATTGTTCTCTGTTATTCTCACTCTTTTTGGACACAGAGTCTTTCTTTTGACATAAATAACTATAACTATAACTATGCCAATAACTAAAATCGTCAACAAGCAGCCAATGATGATTGGGACCACATTATCCTGATCTTGTTCTTCACACTGAGCATCAGTTGTAGCATTTCCTGGTCTTATCAGCTTAAGGTTTAGGGATTCACATCTGGAAGGACAGAGAGACACTTTACAGGAAAATGTACAGATGTGCCACAATCACTGCTGGAACAAATCAGACGTGTCTGTATGTGCTGTAAAGCTTCACTTACGGTCTGTGTGGCCGGCAAAACTTTAAAGTCCCATCTGAAAATGTCCCATTGCTGCAGTCAGAGCACTCAGTGTCTCTGAAGGCTGTTCCTGCACAAACATGATGTTTACACCATTTTCAGCATGTACATCACGTAGGATCAGTGAGTGACTGTGACATCGGAGTAATTACACGTGCCAGGTGACTCCACCTTTGATTCTGATTTTAAAAAATTTAAAAATACAAATATGATCCTTCTAAACTTTACTATAAAGTTAATAACACCTCATTCAGAAACCACTGCAAGTAACAAACAGATTATTTCATCCAGGTTATTTACACTACAAGCATAAGAAACCAACCTGTTTGGCTGATGTATTCTCCTGGTTGACATTGCCTGTGTTTGTGTGCTGCCATGCAGCTACCAGCTGCGACGTCAACACAGTAGAATCCATCCTCTGGTTTACAAACTGTATCTAATGTTGATGTGCATGTCCTGTTCTCCTTCAGACCAAAACCTGTGAGCATGTAGAGAGGACACATCTTAGAGAGACAAGGCCGCGATGGTTTCTACACGTGCAGGGAGGGATAGGGAATATACACTGGACATAGGATGTTGAAGATGGAGGTTTCAGGTAGGAGGAGGAAAAGAAGAGCATAGACAAGATTCATGGATGTGGTGAAGAAAGAGATGGAGAGATGGTGTGAGAGAAGAGGATGCTAGGGATTGGTGAAGAATGAGCCAGAGGGGTCACTGCTGTAGTGACATTATGATGTCATTCATCAAAAGTTACTTAAGATTATTTTGATTGATTTACTAAAATTTTGTAATAATTGACAGATTGAATGATTTGACATATTAATTAAAATAATACATTTATAGAAAACGTTAATGAAATGATGCTTCATTTTATTTAGGTGGAAATCTAAAGGTTAAGTGGAGGACATCATATCGCAGAGCGTGAGAGCTGATCATGAGTTCATGTGGAATATCTTGAGGCATAATTACTTAATCAGTTAGTGTGTTAAACATGTCGCCAGTTTGTCACATTCATTTACATGCAGTCATACATGTTGTAAATCAATGTCAAACCATCTTTAACTGTATTAATTCTTACATCACATTAACAGCAGAACATGCAGTAACAACTTCCCTAGTTTCATAAATAAAAACCTACTTAGGTCACAGATTGTGCAGTGAGTGCATTGTTTGAGTCCACTGGGCTTATCCATGTGGGTTCCACCCTCGCAGGCCACACAGGAAGTGTGTGCAGTCTCTGTGCAATCTGTCTTGACTCGATTTCCTGTTATAATAAAAGAACGGCAGACTATTTTCAATGCATATTGTTTTTACTCATATAAACTGTGAAATCTTTAGAGTTATAAAGGTATGAAGTTGAACTTTTACATACAGAGAGACAGTAAAGAGCAGGACTCCATGTTTAATAACCAAAGTAAAATCAGCCTCTAACATTCAGCTGGATCTTACCTGCAGGACACTTTTGACAGCATAGGTCTTGTGCTTGATACATTGTTGAAGAACACGAGAGAGTGAGGACACTGAAGACTTTCATCATGATTAACTGAAAACAAAGAAAAAGGAATACATTTAAAAGTAGAAGCACGCTTCAAACTGAGAACTAACAGAGAGGAGCAGGAGGTGGAAAAGAAGAAAGATATGAAATGAAATGCACAACAACCTGAAAATGAGAGCCGATGAGTGAAGAAGGAAGATAGTGAGGATTATGATATCAATTTAAAGGAAAAGTAGACAGTATGGGAAATTACATCATGTAATTCACAAGGTGAATTAAACACATGCAGAAGTGATTCAGAAAATACTGAGTGGGTTAAATAGTTGCAGACAAGGAAAAATATTAAGTATGAATTAGTTACATTAAAAAAAAGAAGCCTTTTGTAAGTTTGTATGAAAAATATTTTACCAGCAACACTGCAGCTGTCAAAGAATTTCCTCCTGAAGTCATTTTATACAGCAGAATGAAGACTTTCCTGAACTGAAGACCGTCTCACTGAGATTTGCAAGGAGATGAGCTGTATGATCTAAAACAGCAGGAGAACATCTGAAAAAAAATATGTAAGTGAGCAGCAGGAAACCTGGTTCATGCGGATATTAAAACCTTACGGTACAGGTTAAAAAGTAGTATCTTGTTGTTTGCTTATCATAATTAACCTCCTAAGACCTGATCTCTTTCATGGCATGCATTTTTAATTTCTCTTTGCTATTTGGGCTGAATGGGACCCGATGGATGTAAAACAAAGAATTATCTTTTTACCTGGTTTTGCCCTACAAGGGCCTCATATGCACATATGAGGACATTGTTTTTAATTTTAAAAACAAATGTCCTCATATGCACATATGAGGACATTTGTTTTTAATTTTAAAAACAAATGTCAGTGGATATCAGTGGATATCAGTGGATATCAGGCCCTTGTAGAGCAACATTTAGTATTGTGGTCTACAACCCAAAATGTGATGTTCACATATGTGGATGCCAGTCCTAGGAGTTAAAGAAAAAAAATATTTAAAGGAACAACATATTGGGGTGAGTGAGCATAAAGTAAAGTTGTAGCATAAAGAACAAGAGGACATAAAATAAAATTGTTGTTTCTGGTTCCCTGGTCCGTATTACAGGAAGCGGGTTTACGGCAGGAACCTACCTGCAGATGTTCTTTGACAAAGTCTTCACTTGCTGTTGCACCTGCAGCTTGTTTAAGGTGTACAGCCTGTAAGAACAGAGACAGTGACGACCGTATATTGTGGATTCACTACAAAATCTATAGGATACATTTCCAACACTGATAGGCAGCTGTCAGGTTGTCAGCAAGTTCCTCTGCATGAAAGCATTTACCATAAGCATTCAACTTTCTTGGTCCATGAGATTAAAGTGAGGGCTCAGCTCTTTATTTGCCTGATGACGGAAAGCTTTCACTCATTACATACAGATGTGCTTGAATCAGCTCACTTAATTGAACTAATTTTAATCAACTCTTAAGGAAGTCAAAACTCAGAGTTAGTCATCTCAGATTTCATCATTTCAGAACAGGGCCCTGTTGTTTGACTCATATAATATGCAGAGACCACTGAAGAACTACAGTTTTATGGAAAATTGTTCAAAGGAATGATCTTGACTTTATTACAGCTAGCATATTAAAGTCGCCGCCCTCTTTCAGCTGCTCCCTTTCCAGTCCCTTGCCTCCTCCTCTGACACACCAACCCTCCGCATGTCCTCCTGCTACATCCATGAATCTTCTCTGAGGTCTGCCTCTTCTCCTCCTCCCTGGCAGCTTTATATTCGACATCCTTTGTTCAGTACATCTAGTTTCTCTCCTTTGCAAATATCCTCAGCTCTGCCTCTCTAACTTTGTCTTTCAAAGCGGACCCTCTGATGTAGTCTTTCCTCCCTCCTAATAACAATATTAACATCTTCAACTCTCCAGCTCAGTCTCCTGTCATTTTGTCAGTACCACCATCTCCAAACCATACATTATAGCGGGTCTCACTACCATTTTGTATACCTTCTTATCACTCTCACTCTCAACAGCATCCATGGGATGAAATGAAGTTAGGTGAATCTGAATCATTTGCTATTATCTTTCTGTCACAAATCCCCCTAACACTCATCTCCAACCTGCCTGCACCGACTTCATCACTTTTCTTGTGCACTGTACATTGCTATGGATATTTGACTCCAGGTAATTAAACTCATCTACCATCACTATCTCTATGCTCACTTTCCCACCTTCCTCACCTGTCATTCTCGCACTATTCTGTCTCCAGAGAATACCCCACCTCTCCAGGCTCGCTTCCACTTTCTCCCTACTCTCAGTACACATACTTCTCTTCTCTTGGCACCCATCATATACTTTCTCTAGATCCACGAAGACACAGTGCAATTAACTTCCCCTTGGTCATCAATACCAAACTATTAAATCTAATAATTATATCCGACAAAGTTTTTGCAGAGATCAGTTTGGTTTAGATAAAAGTCTGTATTGTTTCTTGTTACAAAGCATTGCTTGAACAGGACTTTGGTCACCGTTCACTTTCTACGGACCTGCTTTCTCCACTATGGTCCGCAGCCGCATTACAAACAGCCGAATAGCTGCTTCGTTTAACAGCCTGTAACCAAACATTCTGTAGAAGTGATCTAAGGAACTTTACCGTC